ATATTATGTTGTACCGGCTTAAATAACGACTGCTCGACCAGATGATGAGCCGAGTCGTCTACTTGTTGACTGAATACCTCGAAGATGACATCCCCAAGTCGACTTCCCTAAGTCGACTCTCTCTGTATCGCTACAACGGAGGAAGTCGACACCACTAAGCCGACCGTGTCTACGTCAACCACATCATAGAAGGTCGACATCCTCAGTATCGACATTCTTAGCTACCTAAATCGAGATCTACCAGCTCGAGGTTGATTTGTGGCATTAAGAATACGAGGACGATTCGATGACGTGGTAAAGCCTCCTGATATATCTCTATGCGAGCTCCGAGTCGACCTCTCGTTACTCGAGGTCGACTCTTTACACCTCGAGACTGGAGGTGTACTATGACTCAAGGCACTTTTGGATATTCAAGGCTAACTCGATGGATAAAGATGAATCTTTATTGGATAAGAAGGAATCTTAAGATGACTCAGATCTGACTAATATGTGATTAGGATGCAAATAGACCGAGCAACCGTGCCGGTCGACCAAGGGTGTTTAGGGTACTTCAAGCATGTATTTTCCTCTATAAAAGGGGTTGAGGCAACACCAAACCCTAACTTCTACATTATCTATCCATTTTCCATATCCTGTTGCTACTGCTCCCACTGAGCAGAGCACTCTCATCTCTTTCTGATATTGACTTGAGCGTCAGAGGCTCTATGCCAGAAACACTTCCGGCGTTGAGTTCTTGCAGGTGTTTGAGGAAATTTAGAGGTGGTTCAGATGGATCGAAACTCATTGCAACTGGTTCACCTTAGATCTAGGAGGAGTCCCATCACCGACCGAACTAAAATTTTCAATTCGAACTTTTATAATTCAATTCAATTGCCTTGTTTTACTTTTAAAAGCTCGGTGATATTTCAATTCAATATCAATTTTTTTAGTCAAATAACTAAAATAAATGAATGACCAAATTATATAAAATTTATTATTATTATGTTTTTTATTTTTTATTTATCATATTATTTATTGTTGGCCAAAAATTTAGGAATATTACTTATTAAATAACAATACTGAAATATTACTTGTAGTTTGATTATTATATATTTGTTGTAATATATTATAATGATTAAAAATTGCAATTACGAACCTATGGTTTGTCAAATTTCAAATGTGAGCCCACAAAATTTGCAAAACTTTCCACGCACCCAGGCTCTCGGTCGTCCCCTCCGACCGTCGTTGCCGCCGTCGTCGTTGCCTCTTAGACTGGCGACAATTTCACCATTCTCCTCAATACCGGCAACGAGTCAACCTCTTCCTCATCGATAATTTTAGTTCATGTCTCTGCGCGCCGACGAAGTGGTGACTATTTCCGTGAAGGCCATCGTCTCCCTCGACTGCCTGGTGGCTGTGTTAGTTGAGGTGTCATATGGATTGTGGCATGGACGATGCTCGACGGTGGACTGTGACTGTGAATTTCATTGCGACGATCGATTGAACGGCGTTGGCGATGGACTGTCGCAGTGGCAGGACTATAACGACTGGACGGATGGTGCTGTGGCGGCGACAGGACAAGACGGGCGGTGGTCCCGACTGTATGCAACATTAGGCGAGTCAGGCGGAGGTAGGTGTATGCGTCAGTGGTCTGATGAGGCTTGACGACGAGCGAAAGATGGCGGCACTCGACGGCAGGTGGCAGAGGGCGGCGGTAGTCAGCGGCGGGAGGCAGCGGATGAGTGGTGGTGCATCTGGAGTGTTGTTTGTAGTATTTTTGGGTAGTTGGTAACCGAGTTACCCAGACTCGGGTCGTTCTCAAAGGAAGGCTATTCGGACACGGATTCAAACAACGATCGGCTCACACAAGAAAATAAAATAAAATTCCTAAACACTCTACTCGCAATTTGGGGTTTGGATTAAACTAAGAACGCTTAAACTAAGACGAAAGCAAGATTCACAATTTATCGCAAGCAAGACCTCAAATTGCAAGAAAATGGAAAATAAAGAGAAAAAGAACAAGGTACTCCTAGAACCGAGATGGAAAGAAGACACTCATAGGTTCCGGAACATGCGATCAAGCAATAGTCACTCGTGATCAATTAATCTCTCAATCAATTCTCGCTCACGCAATCAATAAAAATATCACATAATCCCTAGCCTACGAGGATGATAGCATAATCGACTCATTGATGTGCATATCTTAACCCTAGAATAACTCAATAAGTAAAGACAAGCAAGGCTAACGAATCATAAACCTTAAGCAAAGTCTCCACGTCTCTAATGCATCCACAAGAAGAAATAAGCCGAAAAGTTGTAATCTTGATGGAGAAATATTACAATTAAAAATAGGGTCTTGGAGCTCTTAGAGAGAGAAACAAAGTTAGAGAGAAGGGAGAGAAAAACTAAGAAGAGAAAAAATTAGCAAATGAGGAATTCTCCAAAATTACAAAGAAAGATGTCAATTTATAGCTACACCACAAACACACACTAAAACACACACATTTAATGAAGAAAACTCGCAGGTTATGGCGAACTCGCCGGCAAAAGTGGAATTTTGCGAGCAACTTTCGCGGGCAAGGCAGCACGGCTCGGGACTCGCGGGCTAGGGGCTGTTCGCGGGCGCGGGCGTGGACACTCGCGGGCAGGAAGAGGCGCTGTTGGCTGACTCGCGGGCTAGCCGCTTTTTGCGGGCGCGAATCTATGAACTCGCGGGCAAGGCACGCATTGGGAGAGAACTCGCAGGATAGGCCCATTTCGCGGGCGCGAAAAGGAGAACTCGCGGGCTAGGCATGGCACTGGCTGAGAAACTCGCGGGTTAGGAGCTTTTCGCGGGCGCAAATCGTTTTCGCGGGCTGGAAATGGTCCCGGTGACCTCTTGATGCTCGATTCGCTCTAACTTCTCGCACACTTCTCCGATTGACTTAAAACTTTGACCCACGCTTTCCAAATCTCGTTCCCCTCGTCTTGAGATGCTCAAATTGATATCACCATGCAATTAATAATATGCCCGGAACGGCTTGGAAATGACCCGTGTGGCTCGAACATGATTCGGACGACTCGAAAATGTCTCAGAAATGGCTCGTCTTCCCAAGATCGAATAATGTGGACCTAAACAATACCAAAAAGACAAGAAAAGTACGTCGAACCACAAAAACTTGATACGAGATAAAAATGCACGAAACACGATAAAATGGACCGGTCGACACTATAACGAACCTAAAAACACTAAACTAAAACACATAAAACACACGAAAATAAGCACAAAAACACAATAAACAAGTGTCGTCGATGCTCAACCGTGACATGTGTGTGTGAGTAGGTGAGAGAGAAGTGTGCGCTGATGTGTATGTGCATGTGTCATGTGTGTGTTTATGTCTGTTGTGTGTGTGTTATGTGTGTGAGAGGAGTGATGCGACATGGTGATGTGTAATTGTAATGACCAAAATACCTTTAATGAAAGTATAGTTTTGGCTTTTTTTAGCAATTGATTTATTCTCACTTCTTTCATTGAGAATCATGCTCATGTCAACCATTTTAATTGTTTCATATTACATCAATCAAAATGAACCATTTACAATCATTCTCATGTTACATATTACATCAATCATTCTCATTTCTCGTTTCTTCCCAATGAACCATTTACAATCAAAATTGATTTATATAAAATCCATTTTTTTAAAACAAATTCTTTAGTCATAATCGATAATTTAATTTTGTTTCGTATTACATCATTTTGCAAATAAAGGAAAACTATCATCCTTAAAAAAGACAATCTATTAATATTTTTTACACGCATAATATGATATTAATACACGATATTGCTCCATAATATTGCTCAATATGATAATAATACACGATATTGCCCAATAATTGTTAATACACGAAGAAAGAAAATCCGCATTGTTTTTGGCTATATTGGTTAATGGTAATATTAATCGTTGACCCGATGCTAGAATATGACAATAGAGATGGAGTAATATTGTTGATGAAGAAGATACGGGCCATGAATTTTTTTTTTTTTTCTTTATTTAGAATTTCTATTCTATGTTGAAAGCTAAAAATTCAATTTTAGTTAATTAAAAACATGTTTTTGAATAAAAAAGAATTGGTTGTTTATCACAAAAATATAATGGTTAAATAATCATAATTCAACCCAAGTAGGAAGAAAAACATGCCTTTCATAAACAAATTGATTTAAATGGTAAAATATTTACCCTTGATTTTCTTTGATGTTTATCACAAAAAATATTATTTCTTATATAGATAAAATGATGGCATAGTCTCACTTTAATTCATGTCTGATAAACCATTTTTGGGCAACCCTACATTAAATTATATTTAACCATTAAATATTATTTAACTACACCGCACGAGATATGCACTAGTATTTAAAAAATGAGAAATGTAAAAGTAATGATCAAACTCGGAATAGCACATTTCTTGTGCTTTACATTTAACTTGCACAGTTGTATTCAAATGAGCAAGCGGAGCTGTACACTCTCCACAATCTATTCACACAACCTACTGCTAGTCGGCATCTCTTGATTATACAGAGAAAGAAATAACACCCAGAAGATGGCTGGGAGGAAATCGTAGCCAACGGCACACTGCAGCTTTTCCTCATCCAACATTCGGAAGAAATCCAGAAATGATAATAAAAGGTTCGCACGGCTGTCCTGAATGTATCGATTCCAACTAACAGCTCCTTTATCAATCATTCTGTACATGTCCCCACTTGAATGGGCGTAAAGAATCTAACTCAGCCATTAAAACCTTCTCCAAGTGATAAAACAGAAACACGATAAACAAAAATGGTAATGTAGAAGAAGTGCCCTTTCATGCAGTATCTTCAGATTCCATAAGGCAACATAGCTGCAAAATCCTCATGCTTTTCGAATACCATATGGGCAATCATGCCAACCTCCAATGACAAGCACACTCGTTTAATAACAGAAACTTCTCAGCTGCACGATGATCAATTTTGCCGAATATGTCAAAAATAACAATCCGTGATGCTCTTACAATATCCCATTTAAGACCCTCTGATAGTAATCGTACTGACGGGTCCGCCAAGCATCCAAACTACTGCTTATTAGAGAAAGCACCAAGGAAACACATTGCTGGTAGAGGAAACGTGACATTCGTGAAAGAAATGAACAGAAACCTCATGGTATAGAAAAGTGAAAAGGGAGTAAAAATGCGAACCTCTTCTGTCAAACCTAAATGAAAGCGTTTTCTCAAGTTTTGTATTGTTCGGGGACCACCCTTGAAACATGGAAAACCAGAATCCTGCA